GAAGTAATTATTAAAAGTAAAATAATCTTGTTCATTGTATCAAACTATTCAAATAATTTGCCTTAGCATTTTGCTTGCTTGTAAAAAACTAGATTGATTCTATAGAGCATGCATGAATTTCTGACTATTCCCCAAGAAATAGTGAAGTGAAAATAAAACAGATTAATAGTAAAAACAGATAATAGTAAAAAAAGAGATTACTAGGTACCGAGATGATATATGAGTACAATTTGAGGAAAAGAAAGAATTCTATGCAAAACAAAGATTTAATTTCAGACGAAATAAAAGCATATGACTTCCCACAATTAGAGGATATATGCTACCTCCTTCATTCTGGATAGATACTAGAAACGCACAGACCTTCCTCATCTTATTACATGAAATTGTAACAACTATGGTACAATATAAATTTCCATGGCAATAACAACGCCATAGCTTTAAAGTTACCACACAACAGTGCAAGATGTATTTTACTTATTTGGTCATTTCTACCATTTAATGGACAAATGATTTAAGATTTTAATTTCATAGAGATGAAAATGTTCATTCCGGATGTAAATGGGAAGCCAATTTACTGTAGTAAATAATACAAGTATTACCACACAAGAACAATTGAGTATTTTAAGCAATACTATAAATACATAAACGTACAGAAAATTTTAAAAAATGATTAAAAACTTAAAGATTTCAGACTTTATATTTAAGCTGATTGGACTTTTGCATTCTTAAGAGGTTTCTAAATCAATTCCCTATCACTGCACACCCCACAAAGGAAATAGTACTTTTTGAACAAGACTTTCTTTGATCACTATTCTATCTTCTAATGTAGTTGAAGCCTATGGGCCTTTCATCAAATCAGGCTGATGAGATTGATTAAAATGTAGTGTTTGGATTTAGGCATCAACATTGTTTGATTTGTGATGTGATTGGCTTTTAGCTAATTATCTTTTAAAGGATGGTGAATTATTTTTTCATGGGATGGCAGTGCAGTTTCTTCCTTACGTTATTAGACAGGCTTATCTATTATTTGGTCTTACC